CCTCGCTTCCAGGCTACCCCCACTCCAGGAAGCCTGCTAGCACTTGGCTTTTAACCTGCCGGGCCATCGGGGCTTTCGTGCCTCATCTCAGCAAGCCACAGAACTTCTCCCTGGATGTCACGGGCCAGTTAGGATTAACACGCAACAGGGCGCCCTGCTCCGGCCGCCAGCTCTGGCCCAGGAGCTGTTAAATGCAGATTGAGAGAAGGACCCCCGGAGGGCTGCTGTTGAATAAAACTGTAATCCAAAGGCACCGTTTCTCAGCGTCCAGCTTTCCGGGTGGGGAGAAGCTGGGCCTTTGCTGATGCCTAATCTCTGCTCTCTCTCCAGACGTGGCCACCCCAGAAGCTCCCCGCTCCTTTCCTCAGTCCTCAGAGTTAAAAAAAAAAAAATGCTTAGATACGGGAATAAAGAGGAACAGATATCTCCGGGAAGGAAGGCGACGGCTCCTTCCCGGAGTACCTCCTTAAATCCAGCATCTGGGTGGCCCCGCCTGGCGCCCCCGGTTCTACCCAGGACCCCTAATCCCCAGTTCCACCTAGCCTCGGCCCCGCGTCCTTCCTGGCTGGTGGCCTCCCAGTCAAACCCTTGCCTGCACGCCTCCCTTTCTGTCCGCTCTCTGATTTCAACCCATCCCTTTATCTCCTCCTCTGAGGCGGGCAACTTCTGGTTCAGCTACCCTCAACCCCTGGGGACCACGAGAGTCTGTGCCCAGAGAGAGCATGATGGTCGGGAGAGGGCGCACAGGAGGCTGGCGACCACTAGGCAAGGCCAAGGGACCTACAGATGGCCTCCAAGAGTGGAGAAGACTGGGAACCACCAGGAAGTGGGGGAGAATAGGATTATAACTTCTACTGGTGTCTTAATCTGATAAAAAAGAAAGAAAAAGGAAAAAAAAGGCCTTACATTGTTGTAGGACCTACGACATTACACGACCAAGTGAATACCCACAGACTTAAATAGTCCTCCAGGAAATCAGTTGGCATCAAAATCGTTGATCCCAGCGCCTAGTGAAGATGACAGCCTTCGCGCCCTCCGAGGGGATGGGGGAAATAAAATAAAATAAACTGTACTGCCAGCAGACCCCAGAGGCAGAGCGGTTAATGAGTTAACTAGGCCTTCCTGAAGCATCAAGTCCCCGAGGACACCCAGTGCGGGTCCTAAGCAGGCTGGGTCGCCTTCCAGAACAGGGAGTAAAGCTAAGCCCCTTAAAGGCCTGGCCCCTGAGGCTCCACATTGGGAGTTCAGCATCCCCCGGGAGCCTGCCCTAGTCTTCGGAACACACACTTGGAGACCATGGGGTGGCTCTGGCCCCTCGACCTTCACTCCTCACCTAGCCGGAGAGGGAAGCCAGCCTACCTGGCCTCCAAACAAAACACACTGAACTCACCTCCCCAGACCCTTTCCAGCCACACTGGCTCCTGGCTTTTTGGAAGTGGATAAAAAGAAGAACACACATCCACTGCTGTCCTCAAATGACAGAGCTGGGTGTGCCCAAAGGGTCACACCGGTAAGCTCACACACCACGAGCCAACAGCGCCAAGAACCCGGACAAACCTAAGGAACACACCATATCAGCATGGACCGCCTGCACGATTCTTTTGTAGGTAGGAAGGGAGAATAAAAGGCACGTGTTTAGCCGATGAAAATCTCAGACTAATGAAACAGAGTAAGGGAAGTTTGTGAAGGAGTAGGGAAAACTCAATGACGTTTCATTAATTCTATATCCTCTATGCTTCCCAAACCCCATAACTTTGGCCCTTTATCTTTGACTTTAATAAAATAATGATTCGTTGAGAAAATGGGGTATAAATCTTCATTTTGGAGGCAATTAAAGTGTTGATTTCATTCATGCCCCTAAGCGGTTCTTGTAATTTGCTCAAATAGCTTTATGTACCCAGCACTCCGGAGCTTTTAGAATCCCATTTTCTAGTTCGGCTTGTTGGATTACAATTTTTACTCAACAGCAGCTACTAGTGGAATCTGCATTTAACAAGCAGGGCTGACGACTGAGCCCCTAAAGAGGTTGGGAACCCTGAGGCACTGCGTCTGGGCCGCCTGCGGCTTTCCCACCTTGATCTGCACTCACTGCGGGTTCTGGACCCCGGTCTACACCGACCCGGTTCCAACTCTCCAACAGTAGTGAGGACCTCTCCTGTTGGCCTTTTAGAGTTCTACTTTGCCATACCACTCGTGGGCAAGGAAGAAATTCAGCACAAATTGTGGAATCGCTCAGGATTAGTCACGGATTTTGAGAGAATACCTTAAGGTGACGCTAAGAATGAAGTTGGAACAACACGTCCTTGGCCAGCAGTGACCATCATAAAACTTCCAGAGGAAAAAACAGCGGGGTTTGACTTAACAAAGGCAGGTTAGCCACATCCCCCCAACCCCCAAGTAGCCACACACATGTTAAGCCCCAATAAGAAAGAGCTCTAGGGTTTTGTCGATGGTGCTAGAGACAGAGGAGTCCACTACTTAAATCTCTAGACTCATAGCACCCATCCTCTCCAGAGCTGTCCAGGACCGTGTTTCATCTCACTCACTCCTCAGATTTTCACTCCCCCCCCCCCAACTCATTTGGACCAATCCAGAGACACAGCAATAGGAAAGAGAAACTGACTGGGAGCAAATGGTGGCGTCTCAGTGACAGAGAGAAATTCTCCACCCCCAACTCCACATAAAAATCATCCCCACTTAGCACCGCAGAGGAAAGGGGGCCTGGAGGGAAGGCTGGAAAGAGCCGCGGTGGAGAGCAAATGCATGGGCCCCTGCCCTCCACACCCAGGGAGTCGCCAGGGCGTCCTTGACGCTAACCCTGCCAAAAGCTGCCAAGGCAGGAAGCTCAGAGCACATACCAGCTGGAGGACGAGTGGAAGGGAGGAGGAGAAAAGTCCATATTTATCTGTTTTTCTAACCTCGGCCTGCTTTTATTTTTTTCTATTAAGTACAATAAAATGGGCGAGCTTGCAGGGAATACCACACAAAGCAATGTTCAGTGAGGTCTAGAAGCGGTCGGCCGGGGAAAACTGACAAGACAGGCTAATGAAGCGTGTAGACAGGGAGAAAATAGCCAGTGCTTGCTAGATTTCAGACCTTCACTGTCTCCCTTAGACCACCTATCTTGGACTTATTCCTAATAAAATAAGAAATAAGCAGACCCTACACTTTTCTTTTCTTCAAGATGAAGGGGGGAAATGCTCATGAACAAAGCCCTACACGCAGAGGTGGCCACTGGCAGTTAACACTCCCATTATTATGGAGGGTAAATAAAATAAAGACAAAAATTAAAAGCGACAAGAAACAGGTCAAGTTTGCAGGCGAAGCTTTTACAAGCTCATCTCTCCAGGTCGAATCCCAGAGCCAGCCTTAATGAAGCAATAATAGCCACATTATTCAAAAATTTTCATTTTGATGGAAATGTATCTAAAAGGGACTTAATCATATGCAAATCATAAAGGAGGTGGTAGTGATCCAGCAAGCAATATGCATACAGATTTTTTCTTAGGGATGTTGAAATTGAAAGTCTCATACCTGGTCAGTTAGATTTGCTGATCTCGTTACATCTTCACTGTCTGATTTTGATCCTCCTTCTCTATCATCTATCACCAAATCGATAGGCATTTTCCCTTTCAAACAGCTAATATACCGGTGGCAGAAATTGTCACATAATTCGTGTACCTACATTATGACAGAAATAAAAAAATGGAAATATAATCAGGAGTGCATAAACGACATTGACAAGTGTAGTCCACCCCCCTTGTGAGATCCAAACTTCCAAATAGGGGAAACACAGGGCAATTGTCCTCTAGAGACCCCCAGACGCATACAGAATTAGGAATAACTTTCTTTTCTTGCAAAATAGAGATATCCCAGAAAATTGACAGTGACAAGATGATTCACAGGCTACAACATAGTCAACACCCATGTTAAATTCATCTGCTCCTGGGGCTGTAGCCATTACAGAGGTGACCTGCATGGGTGACACTTAAGGTAAACTATTTAATTTCATCTGGTTAGTTTACCACAAAGCTTTCCCCAAAGTTCCTAAGGAAAACATGTGATATACACCACACATACACATACACATATACACACACACACACACCTGTATTGTGATGACATAAGATGCATGCCTGACAACCAAAATCAACTTGCCTTTGCCCAATATGTGAAAAAATACAGCCACAAAACTTACTAAATTGATTTTTAAAAAAGAAATAAAAGAACAACTGAAAATATTTAAGTCTAAGTAAAGTCTACTCTTGCAAAATCCAGGCATCCCTTACACTCAAAAGCTCACAAGAAACCCGGCGTGCTTGCAATTTAATGTTAGTTTGAATTACAATACATTAAGTTTTTATTGCTGAGATTTATAGAACAGCCAGCAAAATCAAGTTACCCCACACTCTCTCTTGAGTGTGAAGGTGAGGTGTGTGCTGGATCACAGATTTAAGAACTTGACAGGACTATCAACCCTGCTTTGTCTCTGAGCAATGTCTACCATGCCCTCCTCCCCAGGACCCTTTGCCCGCTTGTCCTTTCCCCAATCCCTTCTGAGTTTGACCTACCACTGATATCAAATCTTCAAGAAACTCACTAAAACAATCCCCCCACCGAGGCCCAGGTAGCAAAGAAGAGGAGTAGAAGAGTAAGAGGGAAAAAACCCACACACAGAGGCATTAACTTGTAAAACAAATTCACTCCGGCATTCTGAGCATGCATTGGGGTGCCAGTACCGAGCCGAGCGGTGCAGCTGATGCACAAAGCCAGCAAGGTACAGGAGGCCAGAGTGTCTGTGATCCCAGTGTCAGTGGCTGAAATTGTAATTAAACTGCAAAGAGAAATGGACGCTAAGATTGGCCTTGACACTAATTACCAGGAAAAAATAGACATTTATGCAAATATCTTGGAAGCCTGAACTTGAGTCTTTCTGAACCCTCCCTTCCGTGTGATTGGGATGAAATGGAAGTGAAGGAAAGGGGGAATAAAGAATTTACCTTCTCTAATTCCAACAGATGAAACCTTAATACTTGTATGGCTTGAATCATCTGCAAAGATAGAGAAAGAATGAATATTCTACTCCCAGTTTGCAGAAAATTGGCTGTCACAGCTCTAGCACCTCCAACTCACCCCTTCCCCCCATAAATAGAGTTATTTTGATTTATGGCAATAACACTAAAACTTAATAGCAGCGACTGGGTACCATCTAGAGGTTTATATTTCTTAAGGAGAAAAAATAGCTAAACCAACAACAAAACATCTAAGTGGGGATCATAAACACTCTCCTCCCCCATGGCTTCCCCCCTCCCGAGTCTTATTGCCCCCAAGGCAACCCAAAGGGCCCCTGTCGAAGCTGCACTTTTCCTATGAAGAAGTTATGGGGAAGTTTTCCCCAATTGTCCCCAAAGAGTGGCTTTGCACTTTGCAAAGTTATTCCTGCCTTCTGTCCGTGCACCTTTGATACCAATTGGTTGATGTTGTTTTTTGGGGGGTGGGGTGGAGTCGGGACTCTGCCCTCATCGTGGCCCTAATGAAGGAGAGACTCAAGGCTAGAAGTCCGCAAGGTTTAAGCACACATGCTGACAGGCGGGGAGATAAATCCCCAGGCTGATTAGAGCTCTGCCGCCTGGCCATCGTAAAAAACAAAAGCCAGCATTTCCCAGCCGCTGCTCCTGGGCCCTCTGAGATGAGTTTATACCCCGGGATCCAGTCCCCAAACACTTGTCCATGGATAGAAACACGTTTGCAGTCGACGGGCAGCTATGGGCAGACCAGTTCAGAAAGCTCAGGGCTGGGGGCTGGGTGGACAGATAGGGGAAGCAGTGAAGGGTCAGCTCTTACCAAGTTATCCAGTTCTGGATTCGAAGAGAATAGAGGTTTTTCTGCGCGAATCTAAATACAATTGAGAAGGAGAGGGGAAAGAAAAAAAAAATGAAATAAAGTCAGCTGCCCTCCCTACTTTCTAGCCTCATTTACACAGTTAGGGGTAGGATGCCACCTCCAAGTTCGTCCCTCAGGGAAGCACTTCAGTGTGAACCCAGTAGGCCTGAGACCAGCCCAGAGCGCTCCCTGACTTCAGCTAGAGCTCCGCTTATGCGGAAAGCTGCTCGCCCGCCACTCCAAAGCAGTCACACAGCATGGAGTTCGTGATTGCATTTCCTAGTGAGCTTGTGTATGGTGAGTGGGTGTGAAGATGGGTGATGATCTGCAAACACACTCACTGGACGAAAAATCTCAGGGAGGCTGTAACACCGCCACGCGTGGCTGAAGGGAGACTATTTTTTTGGCCACTTTTGAGACATGTCTCTATATATCTATCTCTCTATCTCTCTGTGTGTGTTTGTATGTGTGTGTGCATGTGTGCGCGAGCGGGGGACGGGGGGGGGCGACAGCATTCTTTTCTTGTTTCTTTTTACTTTTTTTTTTAACATTTATTTTGCTGACCTGTTTGGCGAACACGGCTATATCTTCATTGAATGACTCTGACGAGCAGACGTCCCCGCCCGCCACCCCCGGTTCGCGGGGGGTGCAAGTAGCTAATTCACATTTCTCAAAAATCAGTGCTAAGAGAGGGAAGAGGGGGTGTCTGCAAGAAAATACAACAGTCACAGACAACACAATGATTAGTCCGGAGTCACCGAAAAAAGGCGCCCAAGAGAAACAACCCGAGTAGCTCGAGGCAGAGAGACCCTTGGGGTGATCTGATCATCGGCTTTTGCCCTTTTGCTCACCCCCCCGCCCAGGTGACGGCTCACCTCCCCCTTGCTCCTAGGGCTCTGAAGTCGGAGGCCCTGAGCCCTGGACCGTGTCTGTGGATCAGTTCAGCATATCTGGCCGGAGAAATTGGCAACATTTGCTACGAATAAAACCCAAGCGGTTCCAGCAGCCATTTTGAATTAAGTTTAGCACCGCGACAAACCCTCGTCCCTCTGCCGCACTAGCAGGACCGGGTGCCGGGGGAAGGCGCGCGGGCCGTGGGGTGGGAGAGGGCCAGACTCTGCCTTCCTCAGAGGCACCGCACAGATCTCCAGGCTCAGGGGATCTCGGTAGCAAACTTGAGGAAAGGGCCTCTGTGGTTACAGGACCGACTGTCACAGGGCAGCACCTACCGACCCTTGCCTCACAGCCCTCGAGAAGCAGGGGGTCCTCCACGGCTCCCCCCAACATTGCCCTCCCTTCGCAGACGCTCCCCATAGTCCCACAAAGAAAGTTCCTTCAAATGCTTTTACATTTCGTCTAGAGTGGGGTAAAGTGACTAGCATCTAAGCATCTAAAAGGCCTAGATGTCGCTCGGTTCAGCCCATTAAAAAAGAAGAGAGAGAGAGAGAGAGAGAGAGAGAGAGAGAGAGAGAGAGAGAGAGAGAGAGAGAGAGAGAGAGAGAGAGAGAGAGAGAGAGAGAGACTTTTAATGCTCAAGGAGCCTTTTATTAGCTCTCACAGCCCAGCTGGGAATTTAACAGTTTGGGGTCCCTTTCACAGCTACCTCAAATGTTCTGTCTTGGACTCTAAACCATTTGCAGACAGGAGGCTGGAATTTAAGCAAGCCCACTGCACAAGGGACCAGAAACTAATGCAGAAAGACCCCCCCAGTCGAGGGTCAATAGTAATATTTTTAAAAAGAGAGAAAAGTGAAATAAGTTATAATAAAGCTTAAAAATAAAAGTGGGGCGAGTGTCCCCAAACATCAGCACACAGTAAAGACAAGTAACTTTCAAGGGGTTTCTAGCGCAGGGTCTAATCGAATGGCCGACGGAAGGGAAGACAGCAAACACTGGCCACAAAGTCTCCCGAAGAAGAGCATCCCATAAGCACTTCTAGCTAAATCCTGAAGGTGTTTCGCCTTTGAACACAAAGTGCCAAAGCGTCTAGAAGTTTCTAAATGTCTGTGTCAATTCAGAGCGGCCCCTCTCCTTGACTTCAGTTGAACAAACTCCTTAAGCAAGACATGTCCCCTTGTCTGACCTGCAGCTGTCCTGACTTTATTGTGCACCAGCAGAACCAGCATACGGTGGCTGAGTAAACTCCACAAGTCAGAACAATCAATGGCTTAAAAGATTTTCCTTTAAACTAAAAGTTTCTTTCCAACACAAAGGCGCCTACACTTTGAAACCCCCAACGCTCAGGAGCTAACTCTAGCGAGGAAGGTCTCGTATCTGCTGAGAGGGGATGCGGACCCTTCAGGCAGTCACTCCGGCACTGGGACTCCTTTGCGGCCAACGTGGCGGCCAAGCCGGGCGCTAAGCCTGCCCCGAGTGCAGATGGAAGCCGGGTGGAGGCTTGCCTGCAATTCCCTTGCAACGTGAATGAAAAGCCAACAGTATGTACTTTTAATCTAGAGAGCTCTGACTTTCCGCTTGCAAGGGCTCGAGGAAATGGAGGCAGCGTCGCGTCTCAAGTCCTTAACTCCGGCCCATTATACCTACCCATAAATGGCATCTTTATCTCTCTTTAAAGCGTCATTGACTGAGGAGCCCATGCTGGGGGCCATGGCGTTGGTATGAGCTGTGTGCGGGTACTGATGCGAGTGCAGAGGAGGCCCATGGTTCAGGTGGTGGACCGGCTGCATGGACCTGGCTGCATGCGGGTCCCCATACATCGTGGAGGGGATGCCTACTCCATCCATGCCCCCATAGTGGGGTAGGTCGTCGTACTGCATGACAAACAGGAGAGAAGAAAAGGGTCAGAGGCCATGCGGGTAAACGGGAACCTTAGGACACCGAGCTTATAAAAGGTCAGTCCAGCTGGATCCTTCCACCCGAATCCCGTGGCCTTACATCTCTAAAGTTGAGCTTTCTACCGTAAAAATTAATTTTAACAGTAAAAAAAAAACCTAAACTTCTCAGTTAGAGTCATATGAGATGAAGGTTCCTGTCCTAACTTGTGTCCATATAGACTAACTCAAAAATCCAAAATCTTTTGGCAAGGAAGGGAGGAAGGAAGAAGGAACGGCAGAGAGGCATTCTGCCGGAGGCGGAAGGTACAACACGCATGTTTCTGGAGGAGGAAACCGAAAATCACAACAATAAAACGTGCCGGGACAGTGTAGCAGACCCGCCTAGCTCCACAGCCCCTTCTCATCCGGGGGATTTTTTTTTTAAGTTATGATGGGAATAGTTGTGCCAAGCACGTGAATTCAGAAAGGCTTCTCATTTTATTTCCCTGCCAGCATGGGATTGGGCAGTCCTGCAAGACACTACGTTTGCTTTGCTTTCCAAAACAAACTCTGCTAAATTATACAAAACGAACTGGCCCCTTATATGTGTGACACTGGAGTGTACACAGACAGCGTGTGCTGCACTTTACAGCTGGACCTGCAGCTGGGCAAGGCTCCCTCCAAGTTTAAAGAAAAGCTACAAAGGAGGCAGCTTACCCTCTATCTTATTTTTCACCCCCACAAACTCTCCCCTAGAGTAGAAGTCAAGCGAGGCAATTGTTAAGCATCACTTTTTAAGCAAATTCAAAAGTAAATACCTGGGGGGGGCTGCTTTCAATTTGATTGTCATTACTGTCTGCGATAAATCCAGCTATTTGAATTTTTCTAATTGTTTTATTCCGGGCAAGTTCTTTTTCTAAGATTTGGAAAAGGTGAGAGAGAAGGAGGATGAATTGCCACTTTCATCCTCTTCAAGGCAGAGGTGTGAAGAGAGTTTGGAAGAATGCTGACATTTGCCTGAAACAAGCGAATAAAGAAAAAAATGTGTCAGCTAGTAACTTTCTTTTCCAAAAAGGGCTTTGAGGGCCAGGACACAAATTATGCAAGGAAGCCTTTTTGCAGACCCCTTTCTTTTAAGAAGCCACCTCCGCTGGGTCGTCATTGTCTGAGTTTACTTTCAAGGCATTTCCATTCAAATAGGAATATTGGGGAAATTAGTATTGCATCTTAAAAGTGAGTAGCTGTGTGTTTAGTATCCAATTAGCACAGGACTTATCTAAGAAAAACCTGCAGGTTTGTTATCTTGCATAAAAACCCATGCAAATTAAAATTACTTTTAAAAGATGAATAATTTTCCAACCAAAAATTCACTGTACTACAACAGTTACTTACCTAAAAATGCTACCTACTTCTACTGATATTAAAGATGGGCATAATCGATAATACAGCAGAAGTTCCCAGCTGTTTATTTCAATTAAACATAGCTTTAAACTTTTAGTTCCTAAATGCTCAAATTATAGCACTGGATATGTAACCTTTATTCCCCTTCCTCTTTCTTTTTTTCTTTTAAAACAGGTGATTCCTTGAGCTTGTATTTTTATATAGCTATTGGTTAGGAATCTATAGACAACTTGATCACTTGAATTAGCAACCACAAGTAACAGGCATAAAGCTACAAATGCATTGAGTAAACCTGTCGATTTAGGCCGCGGCTTCAGGAGTCTCATTCAAAAAGAGAGAAAGAAAAAAAGGAAACTTAGCAGTAGTGTCTTTCAGCCACGTTTCAATTTAATCTCACATTTGAGTTCCACAATTGTTTTTAATACGTACCCTTTGCGCCATCGGCCTCTCTGGCTCCCTTCCTACTTCAACTTCTAATATATCCTCTTTAAGGCCAGTGTGAAAAGAAACAAATATGCAAACTCCCTCGGAAAAAAAATGAAGCACGGGAAAAAATCCTTTTGCGTCTCCAGCAATGTGAGTTACTAGTCCCAGATCTTCGGTCTACCGGACCTGAAGCAAGGCGCCCGCGTCGCTGAGCATAAAAGCGCTCCGGTTCCAAGACAGCAGCGGGAGGAAAAAAAAAAAAAAAGCAGATCTTCTCCCCCCCAAAAAAATCAGTTAAAAAAAAAAAGAGCGCCCCTTAGACCCAACTACCAAATCTCATGGCTTTCTGCCACTCCAGCTGTCAATCACAGGCGAGGTTGTCAACGTGGTGAATGAATGATCATCCGCTCTGTCTTCTTCTGGTCAGAACACCTCAAATGTTAATATTCAAATGCACGAAGCCCTAGCTAGCGCCTGCTTTCCTTGAATCAGTCCTAATTCCTAATCAGTTTCTCTCTTCTCTCGCTCTCTTTCTCTTTCTCTCTCCCTCTTTGCAACTGCAGCACTGAAGGGAGATTAGAGAGGAGGGTTAAAAAAATGTCTGTCTGAGTTTGTCTTAAAGGAGCCACGATCGATGCTGCCCGCTTGCAGTCGCCGTGCGTGTGTAAAGTGTGTGTTGCACAGGCGGAGAGGTGGATTCCGACCAGAATGCTAGAACCCGGAAGTAGTGGTGGCCATAACAGGTCGCGTCTTACACAATGCATTGGGCTGCAGCAAGTAGGCTCCTCGGCAGGGGTGGGTGCGCGAAGCGAGCTCTGGCCGCACTGGAGAGGCAGAAAGGCGCTCCATGAATTCGCACGCCCAGGCACTAACACCACACGCCCAGGGCACATACACACAGATGCAGGCTGCAGCTCCGGACCGCCGGCTTCCCGTCCCGTGCTCTTGGCACTCCTTCGCCTTCCAGCCTCTCTTCTCAAAGCGGACTCTTGAAATAAATTAGGAATAAACGCAGGGCAGGCAGATGCCGGAGTTATTGCTGTCAGAGCTCCGTTCATGAAAGACTTCAAGACTTTCCTCGAAATTATTGGGGTCTGCCAGTATTTTTTTCGGGGTGGGGGTGATGCCAAAAGTACTGGACTCTCTGCTAGACTCCCCAAGGAGAAAAGTCAAAGCCAGAACAAGAAGAGGAGCTGGAGCTGTCTTGGGAAAGGTTCAGCTTAGGAGTCCCGAGAACGTGGGGTGGCGGTCGCCTGGGCGTTCTGCAGACCCAGCTTAGAGTTTTTTTGTTGTTGTTGTTGTTATTGTTGTTTTGAGATTTTTTTTCCCTCCCGCTGTCAGAAGTGGATGCACGGCCGGAGGAAAGGAAACGCTTGCATTTTTGTCACTCTGAGTCCGGACGCCCCCACCACCTCTTCTGCCTGGCAGCCCTCAGCCCCAGCGCGAAGTGAGGGAGGAAGGGAGGGAACAATGAGCTGAGCGCCGGGAATGTGCCCCCAGCGCTTGTTTACAAACACCGAGCTATTTATGACCGCCGGAGAGCGAAACTCAACCCCAGCACCGAGCAGCCAGACCTCGCGGATGGCCGGGGCCTGGGAGCCGCGGGACCCGAGGTTCTTTCTCGGTCGCGCGGTCGGTCGGCGAGGCAGCTGTGCGCCCGGGGCGCGGCGCGGCTGCAGAGCTCTGCTGAGCTACGGCCGGGGCTGCCTTTGTCTGGGCGACGCGACGGGGCTCCAGCCTCGGCCTTGCCTTGGCCTGGGGAGGCTGCGCATCCCAGCTCCTTCAGTGGCGACGCCCGGGGCCGGCCTCCCAGACCTCCATCCCTCTGCTTTTCTATCTCCGACCCGACCCCGCCAAAACTCCCAGTTCCAGAGAAAAAGAAATCCACTTCGGAAGCTGAGATTTCAGACAAAAGCTGACCCTGCCCACAACTTGAAGTCTTCAAAACAGCCACTGGTTTTTAACTTTCTCCCTTGAAATACCACACCCCGGACTTAACATTGGGGGGTTTGTTTTGTGAGGCTTTTATTCTCACTCAGCTCTTGCCCTCAGTTATTCTATTTAGTGGGGCTATTTTACTCTTTATGGTTCTGCGCCTGGCTCTCATCGCTTAGATAGTAGCTGGAAACCTCATATCCCAGGCGAGGCTCTCAGCTCGCTGGGCTCGGAGAGGATCCCCCCCCCCCCCCAAGCTGAACCCTCGCAGAAAACTCCCCCTGTGGTCGACTGGAAAATGAGCTCACCCAAATCTCGGTAGGCAGCCGTGGAGAGGGCTCCGCCAATCGGAAGGCGTCCCCGCCCAGGCGGCCGCGCATTGGCTGCGGGGAAAATCAATTATCAAATAATCGATCAGCAGGGAGCTTCGATCTGCTGGGAATGCAAACTGCCATTCCGGATTCCCGCCCTGAAGGTGGCCAAAAGGCTCACTCCCTCAAAGCAGCCGGCCCGCGCTCCCACCGCCCCCACCCCCATCCCATCGCCAGCTGCGGACCGAACCCTCACTCCAGGGGCGGGGGAAGGTTACGCAGAGAGTTCTGAAAAAGATTTGGAGGCTCCCTTCACGGGAAGATTGTTTGGAAAAGGTTAGCATCTCTGAAACGTACTGAAGCCAACTCCTAGGCTCCAAGTCAAAGACTTCTTTCCATTCTCCAGGCAGGACTCAAGTTTCTACTGAATGGGCTTCTATGGAGCAGGAGACACCGGGGAATCACAAGAACCTCGGGGTGGAATCTGGTTCCATCGAGAGCAGGGGCCTGCTAGGCAACGTGCATAGTTCTTTTAGCACTCTGCACAAGTCAGCGCCGGCCGGGCTGGTTCACTCCAGCAGCCGTGCGTGTCGGTTAAGCTTAGCAGACCTGGCTTGCGGGCTTCCAGCACAGCACCCCGCCCCCAACAACGAACACCTGAAGGGCTGACATATGTTCCCCCCAAATCTTCAATGGGCTTTGCCTTGAAACAGATCCGACTGTTCAAAACAATAAGAGGCCCCTTATCGTGTGCCTCTGTGTCTCCTTTCTTTCTCTTATTTTTTTGCTTCGACACTCAAGTTTGAAGATCTGCTTTTCTCACGATAGTCTTCTGCCCTTTTTTCTTGCACAAACTCCCTGTTGTGTCATTTGGAAGGTTAATGCAGGCTTGTGCGTCAAAATCCGGCATGGAAAAGCTAGGTGAATTGCCCCCGGGTTTCGGGAAATAGATTTTCCCAAGTTTGGGGGAGCTGAGCTGGCTGGGCCAGGCAGTACACTTCTCTGCGAGTTATAGAACCGATTGATGTGGACAAACAGCCCGAGAGCCCTTCCCCAACTCCAGACCAATGCGACCAGCACCTGAGTGTTGGTCCACGGTTGCTGGGTCCAACCAGGTGTGAGTGTCATCACTCCAGGAGGCCTGCGGGGCACTTCTCCCAAGGGGTGGGGGTGGGGATTGGGGAGGACTTTCAAACCAGACACCACAACCTTGAGCACGTCTAAGTCACAATCCTTAAATGAATCGCGAAGGCAATCCTCTAAGTATAATTTAGCTGGGAGGAAATTTACTGTAAAATACATGTAGATAACCTAGTCTCTAAGAATCCAAGGGAGTCTCTGGCCGACTTAAGTAATGGGCTTAGAGCTTCCTTAACTCTGCGTGAAAGTTTTCAAGTTTGGACACGGTCAGTTGTAATAAACTACATATTTTTGAGAATAGGATTTATTTGGGATTCTTGGTTCTCAGTAAATTCTTTTGCTACCAGACCAAGAGGCAAAGGAACGTACAGGTAAGAAACTTTTCAAACAAGCACAATCTTCAAAGTAAGGGCAAGGCTGTGGGATTTTAACCGTGATGGGTCAAGTTACCTTTAAAATACACTTTAATAGCCTTCCCACAGGTTTCCCCTTAAAGACTGGGATAGTTTGGACTTGTGAGCTTAAAATAAAGCCCTGCTAGTTTTGAAAACTTTCCATTTATTAATGTGAACCTGAACCCAGTGCTACTTCCAGGCCCTTCATAGATTACTTCGGAACAATTGAGTGACTAAAACACTTTTACAATGTAATTACAGTAGTATGAATTGTTTGCCCAAACCTCATTCTGGATAAGGATTTTACAATTAGCAAACAGTTATTACAGTTGGGTCTTGCTGGGAGAAATTGCATACGTATGGAGTTGCAATATAGTAACCATAAAAAAAAACTGTTCTATGGAGGCAACAATTAATCATCTATTAAAAGGAAAGGTGAAGAGGCAGTTCCAGACATCTCAGAAAGTCACTGCGACACAAATTACTGTTAGATGTGTGCTGTTCTGGAATGCACATACCCTAAGCTTATTTTCAAATGTTTAGCTTTTAAAGACAATAGCATTCTGATTTTGGCAAACGGCTGGTGCTCAGCCCTAGCTGCTGGCCTTGCTTTTGAAGCAGCAGACCCTCTATTTTCCCTTTATGGCTCCCAGTTTCTTCCCAAAGTTAGAGTGCAGGGACTAAGAAAGAGGCCAGCTGAGCCCCAGTCTCCATTGTTTATCACCTACCCTGTTGGGAGGCCTCTAAGGCAAGCAGTATTCATCTTGGCTGCTAGGAGTCTCAGAGAATTCCCTGCAACTTTCTGTTCTCCTGTGAGGAACTCTGCAAAGTTCATATCCTGAACTGGGCTTGTGTTTCAAAAGTTCACACCGATGAGTCAGACCCCAAACTCTTCAAAATTGAAGAGACACCTCTGAAGGTAAAATGTGTGTGTATTTGCCAGCCCAACACAAATAAAGTCTGTTAATCAATGCAGTTTGGCAGCTGTGTTCACAAAATGATAAGGCCTTATCATCTGGCACCTCACTTGAAGATGCCTGTTAAAATGCTGTGGTTGTTCTTGAGGTTCTCCTGGAGTGTGGGAGCTTGGGATTTGTGCTTCAAGAAAAACACTATCAGTCCTCTGCTCTCCAAATAGTACCCCTTCATTAGCATTTGCATAAAAAAGAAGAAATGGGGGGTAGTTTAAAGAAAATGGATTTGAAATCTAGTGAAGATAATAAAGGAATGCTGGAGATAAGAGCCTGGATGTGATAGGAGAACAGTTCCAAGAATTTAAAGCTAATGGATGACTGTGAGAAAACTGAAATAAACTATTTAGATGGCTATTAAAGGGAGAAACCAGGTTAGGTGATAGGAGAGAGGGCTTCAAGGGGAGGATCAGGAAGGACGTTAATCAAGTGTCCCAAAGCAATCCAGGCCACAAGGGCTGGAAGAATTGTTTACTACATTTTGCTTCAGAAAACAAAGACTGTCTGGGTCCAGTTCAGAAGTCAATGAGAGGTCAGCTTCAGCACTCTGACCATCACAGGGAAAATGCCTGACTCACCGTCTTCTGACTGCCTAACAAAAGTCCAGGAAAAAGAAATGTTGGGAGTCTGGTTGCTTGCCTTACTCTCTATTTCAAAGCATTAAAAAGCTTTGGTCTCTAGAGAGGGGAAAACTACACTGGTTAACATAATTACCAGCTCTGACATTTTCAGAACTTATAGAGGTCTTTTATTAATTAAATAGAGGGCTTAATAAAATATTCCTAATAAAATTTATGGTTGTCTTAAAACTTTCTAAACAGTGCTATAAATTCTTAATAAAATTAACTGGGAAATGAGTTATTAGCCTACACTTTGCCTTCCCCCAAACTTCAACTAGCTCTGCAGAATGGAAAGAAATAAAGGTCTTTTAAAATATAAATATTAACCAAAGCTGTACATTGCAATAGAGAAGGGGGCCTTAACTATTATTTCTAAAGGACTTAGCCTCCAAAGCCCCACCTCCCAAAAGCTATACACAAAGCTTCAAGAGAATCTCTCTTCTTATTTACAACATATTATATATACATGTGTATACAAACTCATTTAAAATTTAATGTTCAATGTTTGGAGTTGAGTTTTGCTTTGAATATAATAAAGAACATAACAGATATATTCTAGTAACAAAAATTTGAAGGCCCAGGGCAAATTATTACCCGTTAGAAGCTAAGCAAAATTGAGGTGTCTCTTTTTAAAAAAATTTTGACCTGTCAATTTAATTTCCTTAAGGGTAGCTTATAGTCAATAAAATCTGCAGTAACAAATCTCTTTATTTTAACCATTAGTGTATTTTCTGAAGAAAATGCATTTGTTGTACAGATACACAAAAATGTTTTCATGTCACTCTGCTTCAGAGTTTTGCAAAGTTAATTTTAGTTTTGAGATCTCTGCTGTACAGATCCAGTCCCGCTGGCTGACTGGCTCTTTAAAAGAACAGGCCACTGGCATCCACTCCAAATATAACCAAACCACCTTGGATTGTTCTGCAAAGGCTTGATCTTTTGTGCCGTCTGCTGGACAATAGAAAAATTGCAGCCCTGTTTACTTGAAACTTTTCACTGTCCAGTATTTGGCCAAGGTGGGGGAGGGGAGAGGGATGTGTGTGTTGGGGGCGGGTAGGGTAAGATGTGATATTGGTAACTGACAAGAGAGGATCACAGGACTTGGGACTCACTGAAAGGTATTATAGTTGCTTTTTTCAAACCAAAGAGTATCAAGTCTGGGTGCATACAAACTATTTGACTAATTCCAACATTGAAGTCTTATTCCCTACCCATCTCCCTTTCTCAGTCAATGCGGGGAAAGCCATAGAAGATGAGGCATGCTCAACTTCTCAGAAAAGAAACTGTGGGTGGTTTGCTTGGGATTGATTTCCTTGACAGTTGAGTTAAAAGCTACCTCCTAACTGGATGTTGCAGGATGGACATGTTAATGCTGGGCCCCCAGAGTATAATATTACTCAGGAGTCAAAAAAAGTCACTTTTGGATAGAGCAAGGACGAAACCAGTAACGAGAAAATGCTTGCACACATCCCTTTGATGTCTGAAGCAAGTGTAGGGAGAAAGGTCAGTGGATAAAGTCAGATGCCTCCACACAGCAGAGGCTGTTTCTGTTCTTGTAAGCATTAAACGCATCAAACATGCTCTGTTAGACTTAAAACTGTGCAGGAAGCCCTAGCACTGTGTAAGCCTTGGGATGGGGGAGCATATTTTGACCTCCGACAGTGACTTAGTTTCTGAAGGAATCACAATGATCATACAGAGATAATTTTGAGAAGT